TGTAGTTAATTGCTCCCCACATTTCCTTATAGTTTTCTCAGTAAATTCGTAACGTTATATATTTAATTTTCATATTTTCAGTCTATTTCTTACTTAAATTCATCAATAAAAACACGCATTCATCTATAGCACGGTTGAAAATTGGCCTTTTCCTTTTAAATTTTCTATTTAAATAGTGTAACTAACTGCCCCCCCGTAATCCTATATAGTTTTCTTGGTTAATTCCTAACGTTATATATATAATTTTCATATTTTCAGTCTCTTATTTACGTGAATTCATCAATAAAAACACGTATTCATCTATAATTCGGCCGAAAAGTGGCCTTTTCCGTTTAAATTTTCTTTGTTAATAGTGTATTTAACCGCCCCCCGTATTTATCCATAGTTTCTATAATTAATTTCTACCGCTAAAATATTGATTTCCACATAATTCGTTTTCCCATAATCGTAATTTCCTAAAATATTTAAAATTTTTCAAATCTTCATTTATTTCGCTCTTTTTGCTTTTATTAGGTCCGTCTAGTGTAGAAACTACCATCTGCACTCTTATTTGCCTTATAAAACATATAGAACTGGAAAAAATCACTATTTACCTAAACCGAGGTATAGTGGTCAATCAATACAATCACATAAATTCAACTATAAATTCGCTAATAACTTTTCTAAAAATTGGTATTTTTCGTTCAAATCTTCTTTAAATTGTGTAGTTAATTGCTCCCCACATTTCCTTATAGTTTTCTCAGTAAATTCGTAACGTTATATATTTAATTTTCATATTTTCAGTCTATTTCTTACTTAAATTCATCAATAAAAACACGCATTCATCTATAGCACGGCTGAAAATTGGCCTTTTCCTTTTAAATTTTCTATTTAAATAGTGTAACTAACTGCCCCCCGTAATCCTATATAGTTTTCTTGGTTAATTCCTAACGTTATATACATAATTTTCATATTTTCAGTCTCTTATTTACGTGAATTCATCAATTAAAAACACGTATTCATCTATAATTCGGCCGAAAAGTGGCCTTTTCCGTTTAAATTTTCTTTGTTAATAGTGTATTTAACCGCCCCCCGTATTTATCCATAGTTTCTATAATTAATTTCTACCGCTAAAATATTGATTTCCACATAATTCGTTTTCCCATAATCGTAATTTCCTAAAATATTTAAAATTTTTCAAATCTTCATTTATTTCGCTCTTTTTGCTTTTATTAGGTCCGTCTAGTGTAGAAACTACCATCTGCACTCTTATTTGCTTTATAAAACATATAGAACTGGAAAAAATTACCATTTACCTAAACCGAGGTATAGTGGTCAATCAATACAATCACATAAATTCAACTATAAATTCGCTAATAACTTTTCTAAAAATTGGTATTTTTCGTTCAAATCTTCTTTAAATTGTGTAGTTAATTGCTCCCCACATTTCCTTATAGTTTTCTCAGTAAATTCGTAACGTTATATATTTAATTTTCATATTTTCAGTCTATTTCTTACTTAAATTCATCAATAAAAACACGCATTCATCTATAGCACGGTTGAAAATTGGCCTTTCCCTTTTAAATTTTCTATTTAAATAGTGTAACTAACTACCCCCCGTAATCCTATATAGTTTTCTTGGTTAATTCCTAACGTTATATACATAATTTTCATATTTTCAGTCTCTTATTTACGTGAATTCATCAATAAAAACACGTATTCATCTATAATTCGGCCGAAAAGTGGCCTTTTCCGTTTAAATTTTCTTTGTTAATAGTGTATTTAACCGCCCCCCGTATTTATCCATAGTTTTTATAATTAATTTCTACCGCTAAAATATTGATTTCCACATAATTCGTTTTCCCATAATCGTAATTTCCTAAAATATTTAAAATTTTTCAAATCTTCATTTATTTCGCTCTTTTTGCTTTTATTAGGTCCGTCTAGTGTAGAAACTACCATCTGCACTCTTATTTGCCTTATAAAACATATAGAACTGGAAAAAATCACTATTTACCTAAACCGAGGTATAGTGGTCAATCAATACAATCACATAAATTCAACTATAAATTCGCTAATAACTTTTCTAAAAATTGGTATTTTTCGTTCAAATCTTCTTTAAATTGTGTAGTTAATTGCTCCCCACATTTCCTTATAGTTTTCTCAGTAAATTCGTAACGTTATATATTTAATTTTCATATTTTCAGTCTATTTCTTACTTAAATTCATCAATAAAAACACGCATTCATCTATAGCACGGTTGAAAATTGGCCTTTTCCTTTTAAATTTTCTATTTACATAGTGTAACTAACTGCCCCCCCGTAATCCTATATAGTTTTCTTGGTTAATTCCTAACGTTATATACATAATTTTCATATTTTCAGTCTCTTATTTACGTGAATTCATCAATAAAAACACGTATTCATCTATAATTCGGCCGAAAAGTGGCCTTTTCCGTTTAAATTTTCTTTGTTAATAGTGTATTTAACCGCCCCCCGTATTTATCCATAGTTTTTATAATTAATTTCTACCGCTAAAATATTGATTTCCACATAATTCGTTTTCCCATAATCGTAATTTCCTAAAATATTTAAAATTTTTCAAATCTTCATTTATTTCGCTCTTTTTGCTTTTATTAGGTCCGTCTAGTGTAGAAACTACCATCTGCACTCTTATTTGCTTTATAAAACATATAGAACTGGAAAAAATCACTATTTACCTAAACCGAGGTATAGTGGTCAATCAATACAATCACATAAATTCAACTATAAATTCGCTAATAACTTTTCTAAAAATTGGTATTTTTCGTTCAAATCTTCTTTAAATTGTGTAGTTAATTGCTCCCCACATTTCCTTATAGTTTTCTCAGTAAATTCGTAACGTTATATATTTAATTTTCATATTTTCAGTCTATTTCTTACTTAAATTCATCAATAAAAACACGCATTCATCTATAGCACGGTTGAAAATTGGCCTTTTCCTTTTAAATTTTCTATTTAAATAGTGTAACTAACTGCCCCCCCGTAATCCTATATAGTTTTCTTGGTTAATTCCTAACGTTATATACATAATTTTCATATATTCAGTCAGTTATTTACGTAAATTCATCAATAAAAACAATAATTCATCTATAATTCGTCCGAAAAGTGGCCTTTTCCGTTTAAATTTTCTTTGTTAATAGTGTATTTAACCGCCCCCCGTATTTATCCATAGTTTTTATAATTAATTTCTACCGCTAAAATATTGATTTCCACATAATTCGTTTTCCCATAATCGTAATTTCCTAAAATATTTAAAATTTTTCAAATCTTCATTTATTTCGCTCTTTTTGCTTTTATTAGGTCCATCTAGTGTAGAAACTACCATCTGCACTCTTATTTGCTTTATAAAACATATAGAACTGGAAAAAATCACTATTTACCTAAACCGAGGTATAGTGGTCAATCAATACAATCACATAAATTCAACTATAAATTCGCTAATAACTTTTCTAAAAATTGGTATTTTTCGTTCAAATCTTCTTTAAATTGTGTAGTTAATTGCTCCCCACATTTCCTTATAGTTTTCTCAGTAAATTCGTAACGTTATATATTTAATTTTCATATTTTCAGTCTATTTCTTACTTAAATTCATCAATAAAAACACGCATTCTTCTATAGCACGGTTGAAAATTGGCCTTTTCCTTTTAAATTTTCTATTTAAATAGTGTAACTAACTGCCCCCCCGTAATCCTATATAGTTTTCTTGGTTAATTCCTAACGTTATATACATAATTTTCATATTTTCAGTCTCTTATTTACGTGAATTCATCAATAAAAACACGTATTCATCTATAACTCGGCCGAAAAGTGGCCTTTTCCGTTTAAATTTTCTTTGTTAAAATAGTGTATTTAACCGCCCCCCGTATTTATCCGTAGTTTTTATAATTAATTTCTACCGCTAAAATATTGATTTCCACATAATTCGTTTTCCCATAATCGTAATTTCCTAAAATTTTTAAAATTTTTCAAATCTTCATTTATTTCGCTCTTTTTGCTTTTATTAGGTCCGTCTAGTGTAGAAACTACCATCTGCACTCTTATTTGCTTTATAAAACATATAGAATTGGAAAAAATCACTATTTACCTAAACCGAGGTATAGTGGTCAACCGTTACATTTATATAAAATCAACTACATCTTTGCTTATAACTTTGCTAAAAATAGGTCTTTTTCGTTCAAATCTTTTCTAAATAATAGAACTAATTACTCCTCGTATTCCCCTATAGTTTTCATAGTAAATTTTCACCGCAATATAATTAATTTTCACATTTTCCATCCATTTTATACGTAAATTCACTAAAAAAAACATAAATTCATCTATAATTCGGCTGAAAATTGCCCTTTTCCGATTAAATTTTCTATTTAGATAGTATAACTAACTGCCCCCCCGTATTTCTATATAGTTTTCTTGGTAAATTCTGAACGTTACATATATAAATTTTCATATTTTCAGTCCCTTATTTACGTAATTTCATTAATAAAAACATCAATTCATCTATAACTCGGCTGAAAATTGGCCTTTTCCGTTCGAATTTTCTTCTAAAATAGTGTAATTAACTGTCCCGCGTATTCACATATAGTTTTCTTAGTAAATTTTCGCCGATAAATTACTGATTTTCGCATAATTCGTTTTCCAATAGCTCTATTTTCATAAAATTTTTAAAATTTTTTAAATCTTTGTTTCTTTCGCTCTTTTTGCTTCTGTTAGGTCCGTCCCGTGTAGAAATAGCCATCTGCACTAAAATTTTATAAGTAAAACACACGGAATTGGAAAAAATCGAACTCCCACCCTCCCTATTGCACTTACTTAAGTAGACTTGTAGGGAATTTGTATCGATTTTAATTTGTATCGATTTTTTATTTTAACTATATCGATTTTTTTTTAATTTATTTAACCTGCAAATAAAAACACCTAGTTTAGGCAAAAGTCGCCCTCCCACCCTTCCGGTTTTCATTAATTAATTAGATTCGTGTCACACAAATGTCAGTTCTCAGCAATTCGTGTACTGAAGCCATACCCAGTCAAAATTTAAGTCAAGAAATTGTTAGGACTGAAGATCCTGCAAATATAACTGACGAAGAATTTGAAGAAGCTCGATCTGAATCCAGCCCTAACTTTAACGACGAGTACCTTTTAAAATTAACGAACACACTGATTTAATACAAAAAACCCTAGATGGTAGTAGAAGTGTCACTCGCATAAACAAGGAAAGTATTAAAAAGTCTCTGGAAGAAATTAAGCGCAGCACGCAGCAGTTACACGACCAAGTTAAAAATATTTTACGACAGTCAACACTATCTACCGAAAATAAAACTACTTCTATAATCAGAAATACGATTAAAGAAGAATTCGAAAAGATTGCGTTAAAGTCTCAGCAGTTCTCCGCTCCGCCACTGCTAAAACCACTTCATTCAGATATTACCCCGAAGCCAATTCCAAGTTACGCCACAGTTGTTAAGACTACAAAAGTTACTGAGAAACCCCCAATTCCGATTACCAAACCATCTTTAATAATTACTTCCAAAAAACCAGTATCCTCGTCACAAGAGACCATCCACGCGTGGAGGAAAAGTGTTCACTTCAAAGAGCTTACCTTCACTCCTGCTGAGGTGAAACCTGTCTCTAATCATAAACTTCGCGTTGAGTTTGACAAACAAGAGCAAAGGGACAAGATTTTAGAAACAATAAATCGGCCAGACAGCCTGGTCAGCGCAGAAATAGCGAAAAAACTCAAGCCTATGGTCATACTTAAGGGAATTTACAAAGACACACCCGTAACTGAGCTTGTTGATATCATCACCAATCAAAACACTAAAATAAAAGACCTTATTATATCACCTGAAGACATCATATTTAAATTTGTGCGCAATAACAAAAACCAGAAACTCTATAACGCTGTATTTATGGTTGCTCCTCATATTTGGAGAGTAATCATAGAAATACAAAAAAGTTAATATAGACCATCAACGAGTGCACGTAGAAGACTTTCCGGCATTCCTTCAGTGTTATAAGTGCATGCAATTTGGACACACCAAAAAGCACTGCACTGAAGGCAATACAATCTGTTCCCACTGCTCCTCAAATACACACACATACAAAGACTGTCCAGTAAAAAAAAGATATAAACAAAATAAACTGCCACAACTGTACAATACACGCTAAAAAATACAACTTAAATTTAAACACTAAGCACAGCACCACGTCCCTATTCTGCCCTCGTGTTCTCAAACAAATTGAAACCTGCAAAAATAAAACCGATTATGGATACTAAAAGAAAAAATAGGAAAACTGCAACAAATAGTTACAACCCGCTTAAATGTTTACAAATAAATCTAGATAGAGAATACGCAGCGACTAACGAATTGTTTAAGTATGTGACGGATAATCAGATTGAAATAGTGTTTGTTAACGAGCCTTATGTTGGAAGTGGCACCTATATGAGACGTTGCCCCGGCTACCATATTCATCAGTTTTCAACTAAACATCATGTCAAAGCATGCATACTCATCAAACAAAATATCGGGAGTTCGTTGGGCATCTCAGAAGACTCCACTTCCAACATTTGTATAGTACAAATAACTACAAACGGCAAAAAAATATTTCTTATCAGTGTATACGTTGAACCAAATACTGATGAAAGTAACACAATTAATACATTAGAGCTCTTTCTACAAAAGACAAAAAATTACAGCCATATCATTTGTGGTGACTTCAATGGCTGGCACCCTTTATGGAACTCATCCAGGGCAAATCGGCGAGGAAATATTATAGCAGACTTATTAACCACTAACGATCTTAACCTTTGTAATTCTGGAAATGTACCAACATTTGAGACTGTTACTCACAACATCCATCGAGAATCCATAATTGACCTTACTTTAACCTCCAATCTGTCATCAAATCGAATCAGTAACTGGAAAGTTGATATAGAAGTCTGCCCATCCTCCGGTCATAACGCAATAACTTTTGAATTATTGATAAATAAAAACAGTATACCCAAGCCAAAGAAACTATCCACGTTCAAATATCATACCCAAAATGTAAAATGGGAACAAGTCCACACAACTTTCAAAGAAGAAGTTGAAAAAAATATAGATTTAAATGTAAACATAGAACAATTCAATAGTTTTGAACTAGAACAATTCATAGGCAATTTAACATCAGCTATACAAAAATCTTGTGATTATCTGTTTCCACAAAAAGGAGGAGCACGCAATAGAGCAATATGGTGGAATGACGAGCTAGAGCAGCTGAAACAAAAAGTTATCAAGAATCATCATAGGATCCAGCAATTGAAACGACGGAAAAAATCATTAACCGAAGTGATAGAAGAAAAGACAAAACTAAAGACAGAATATGCGCAGGCAATCAAAACTGTATCAACCAACCATTTCAGAGAGTTTTGCAATAAACAGGGGAAGGAAGATGTTTGGAGTGTCACTAATAGGCTTCTTAAAACTACACCTCTAACTCAACCACCAACGACACTAAAAACGAAAGCAGGCAACTACACCTCAACCACCAAGGATACCGCAGAAACATTGTTAAACGAGTATTTTCCTGAAGACGAACCTGACATAAGCTCTAGACACATGGAAATACGCAGTCTCTCTAAAATAGTACCAGACACACCGTCAGACCCTCCATTTACTACTGAAGAAGTTTTAAACGCTCTCAAAACGATGAACTCTAAAAAATCACCAGGACTAGATCACTTAACTGCAGACATATGCTTTAATTTTACTAAATTGTATCCCTCAGTAATTACCGCTATAATGAATAGATGCTTTGAACTCAGTTATTTCCCAAAAATCTGGAAAACTGCATACATAAAAATAATTCCAAAATCTCATAAAACTGAATTTAACACTTCCTCTTATAGACCTATAGGACTTATTAATGTTTTTGGGAAAACTTTAGAAAAACTCATTACTAAGAGACTAACCTATCATTTACATAAAACTAATGCAATGAGCGAGGTACAATATGGCTTTAGAGAGCAAACTTCGACCACGTGTGCAATTCAAAAAGTCCTAGACGTAATTAGAAATGCCAAAAGCAACAATATGCAAGTCCTAGCAGTATCGTTAGATATACAAGCTGCGTTTGATAGCGCATTGTGGCCGGCTCTTTACCAAAGATTAAAATCGATTCAATGTCCTAGGAATATATTTATGTTACTCCAACATTATACAAGAGATCGCGAAGTAAAACTTGACTTCGCCGATAGTTCGGCTACCAAACCAATGCACCGAGGGTGTATTCAGGGATCAGTGTGTGGTCCCATGTTCTGGAATTTAATCCTCGACGAGCTTTTAACGTCAACTCTACCTGATGGATGCCACTTGCAAGCATTCGCGGATGACCTTTTTCTAATCACATACGCTAAAAATCTCGCTACTCTAGAAACTACAACACAGACTGCACTTAAACAGATATTGGAGTGGGGTAGTTCAATTAAGCTTAAATTCAACCCGAATAAAACGCAAATGATTGCGTTCACCAATAAAGCTAAAAAATGCAAAATAACAATGGGAAACCAATACATAAATTGTTCACGACAGATTAAATACTTAGGAGTTATCATCGATCAGAAATTAAATTTTATAAAACATGCAGAGTACATAATAAACAAATCCCTTAATCTACTACATAAACTAGTAAAGTATATAAAACCGACCTGGGGAATTAATCCAGAAAATGTCCGTACCATCTACTCAAATGTAATAGAACCTATATTGTGTTATGGTGCAAGTGTTTGGAACCCAGCCCTTAAATATAAATATGTCAATAAACGCCTTCTTTCCTTACAACGAACAATAGCCATAAAAATCATAAGAGGTTTCCGTACAATCAGTACGGCAACTGCAATCAGCTTAGCACAACTACACCCCCTTCCAGACAAAATTAATACAGTAGCAGATCTAGAAAAAACTAAGCAACAACGTACATCAAAATACTTACCTACAGACATAGAGCTTGAATCACCTTCCAAACCTATGGAGCTACTTCATCCTTCAAAACGGAAAACGATAGAATTTACTGAAGCAATATGTCAGCAAGAAGTAGAGCTACATCAAACATCGTCTTCATCCTGTATCTTCACAGATGGAAGCAAAAATGAAAATGGAGTAGGGGCAGCTTATGTTGTGTTATCTCATGAAGGTCAAAAATTAATAAGGAAATACAAGTTACATAACACGTGCTCAATTTTTCAAGCTGAAATATATGCTATTCAAAAAGCAATGCACTGGATACTCAGCAGTAAACTACATAAATTCACAATTTTTTCCGACAGTAAATCAAGCTTACAAGAAATCCAAAACCCAGAGAGTACAAACCCATTAACCGTAGAAATTCACCGTAATATAATCAAAGCTCAAACACTAAATAAAACTATTAAGTTTGTTTGGATTAAAGCGCATAATGGAGTTCTTGGTAATGAGCTTGCAGATACAGCAGCAAAATCAGCGTCAAATCTGAACAAAACACCGGACTATTGTAATTTCCCAATTTCTTATGTAAAGCAAAAACACAAAATAGAACTCAAGACAGTAGCTGAAAATTATTATAATAATCCAAACAATTGCACATATCTTAAAACATGGTGTCCCACGTATGAAATTCTTGTCAGTGTATTAGAAAAATTCAAATTGTCTTTCAGTGTAACACAAGTTTTATCCAATCATGGCTTCCACAAAAAATACCTATACCGTTTTAAAATAACAGAAAATGACAAATGTCCTTGTGATAGTAATACACAACAAACGGTTGATCATTTAATAAAAGAATGTCCAAAATTTAGTCAAACCCGAATTGATCATGAGATCCACTGCAGCAATCTTAATATAAGCCCATACAAACTAATTGAAGTTATACAAAAGGAATCTTGCATAGAAAGTTTTACAAGACACGTAGAAAAAATTGTAAAGTCACTTAAAAAATTTAATAAAGGCTAATAAAAAAAAATATTATATAACATAAAGTAAACAAAATAAGAAAAGCACAAACTAATAAACACAAAAGAAAAATCACTCTGATCAATCGAAAGCATATTGCACTATACGCTGAGAGCCTCAATTTGATTAAAAAAAAACCTAACCTAACCTAACCTAACCTAACCTAACCTAACCTAACCTAACCTAACCTAACCTAACCTAACCTAACCTAACCCAACCTAACCTAACCTAACCTAACCTAACCTAACCCAACCCAACCTAACCTAACCTAACCTAACCTAACCTAACCTAACCCAACCTAACCTAACCTAACCTAACCCAACCTAACCTAACCTAACCTAACCTAACCTAACCCAACCTAACCTAACCTAACCTAACCTAACCTAACCCAACCTAACCTAACCTAACCTAACCTAACCCAACCTAACCAAACCAACCTAACCTAACCTCCAACCTAACCTAACCCAACCCAACCCAACCCAACCCAACCCAACCCAACCCAACCCAACCCAACCCAACCCAACCTAACCCAACCTAACCTAACCTAACCTAACCTAACCTAACCTAACCCAGTATTCCGCCCCTACCACCTGTTGCTCCCGTTTGAAAAATCCGAAAAATAGGTCAAAGTTGTCCGATTTCTGTGAAACAAGTGGTGTCTCGTGTATCTCTGTGTGTTCTATGCACGAGTGATTGTTCCATTAGTGGGAGGTTAAGTGTCACAAGGATATTTCAGCAAAACACAGCGGAAAAACTGCAAAACAGGTAAAATTTCACTAAAAATTTTACACTAAATTGCGTACGCCGCTCATTTTAGATCGAAGACCTGCTGATTTTTATATCTTATTTTGTGGCATTCATATAGCTCTATCATATGGCATAAGTTCTGGATTTTTTCGCTAATTAAATTTGGAGTAATTAGGCGAAAACTGAAAAACCACGTGGCGTGTAAAATTAAAACCGCTATCGTGCGGTTGAATTTGAACACACATTATTATAGTACACTGATAAATAAATAATCCTGTACTTGTGGCACAGAAATCGGCATCGTATTCCAGAAGATATAGCCAAAAATGCAAAATTATTAAAACTGGCTCATTTTCACTCGTTAATTGCGCGTGATTCTTAGCGACGACATATTATTTTTAATTTATAATATAGTTGCAAAACTTATCCTTAAACTATTTGCAAAGTTCTGGATTTTTCGAACTTAAACTTTCCGAGTTATTTCAATTTTCCTGAAAACACTCTAACACGTGGTCTGTGTTTTAACAGTCTGGCGATATTTTTATCGCAAGGAAATCGTAGAGCACTAAAAACCGAAAAAGAATCCGTTTTCAGAACGGTTGTATCACTTTTCGTTAGAGAGATATAAAGTTTTCAGTGTTTTTTCAGGAAATTTCAGTATCTGTTCCCTTTTCGCTGATTTACATATCACAGTTGGCTTGCCCGTGTAATTCCACAAAATTAAAGCCCAAACACGACCATCATAGCACTTCCCGTTGCTGAGATATAAAGATTTATCGTTTTTCCACCATTTTGTCCGCCATATTGAAAATCTTGTTTGGCTCATATCTCGGAAACGGTTCATCGCAGAAGCGTGGGGTTTCCAATAGTCATCTTTAAATTGTCTTTAGAACAATTTAGGACCAAAAAGAACAATCGCCAAAAATCGCACAAACTGGCGATATATTCAAATACTTAGTGCAAAGACAATTTTAACAAGCCCAAACACGAATAATTTACCTCTGGTGGACAGGGAAATAGACCGTTTTTAAAATATCGACCGCCATCTTGGACCGCCATCTTGAAAATTTATATTTGCTATAACTCCCGAACCAGTGGTCGGATTTGAACGCGGTTTTCAACATTATTAAAGTTAAATAGCTCCCTAAAATCCTAAGTTACCACCGAAATCACCCGAACTGGTCAAGTCATCCGCCATCTTGAATATCTTTAAAGGCGTGTAACTCCATTTTTAATAGTCCGATTTTAACGCGGTTTTCGGTTACCTCAAGTGCATTTAGAACTCTATAACTTGAGGTTGTTTAGAAATGGCGGACAAACCAAAGAAAACAGCAACTGGCAGTACAGATAAACCACCTTCAATCAAAAGGAAAACTGTGACAAAAGCCATAAAGGGCTCCGGCCAAGTTCATACCGATATAGACACAAAGACAGCAGAGTTACCAACTCAGGAAACACAGGGTGAAAAGGTTTTGAACCTCTTGGAAATAGAGGAAGCCGAAAAACTGCACCACCAGACAGGGTGGGGTGCAGAAAAGGATGAACAGGGACCGCAGACCTCAGACTTGCTTTACTCTTCACCAAATCTCGACGAGGCAACATCATCATCTCCTGTGTTATCAAGGACTGGTGCAAGCCTCTTACGAATACGCACACAGATTAAACAGGCGAGGGCTGCAGAAGCCAAAGAAGCCCTAAAAATGTTGTCGGAGACTGAAGACACCGCAGAGTCGGATATTGACAGTGGAGACACTAACACGTCCCTCAATACTTCCACGAGGTCGATTGGAGGAAACCGGATGCTCCTTAATGATTTGCCCAGACATGCCAATGAAGTGCTGCAAAGAACGAAGGCAGAGCTGGAAAAATCTGGAAATCTAAAGAGGGAAATCCGGGAAAGTGTCGTCTCGGGGATGTATACATTATATGAAATGGTCCTCAAATTGTCTGATTCGAGAATTTTACACATTCTTGAATCCAGCAAACAAAAACTAAATGTCTCACGTGAATCAGAAAGGCTCACACAAAGGCATGCAAGGTTCATGCACGAGACTTTAGGACAATATGCTAACTTAAAAGAGAACGTAGAAAAGCTTTTGAAAGAAACAGAATCTACCCGATCAATTGTCTCGTATGACCTTTGTGAGGCGGTAACGGCAACAAAGAAAGAAATCGTCAATGTACGTAAAGAAATCACCCTAGGTTCATCCATCTCGAGTCAGATGCAATTCTTGATGGAGGAACTAAAACAACTTCGCGCGAACACCGACACCCTTAAGAACCCTACTCGTCAAGAAATTGACTTATCTCGCTTCGCCGAAGAGCTGCAGGAACTCCGTCAGGCGGTTAGAGAACTCACCAAAGATAGGGTAATCCCGCAGACACAAAGTAGTGAACACAGCCCAGAGATACCAAACCAAGAGATGTTATCGGAAAAACATCACAAAAAATTTATCGAGGAACTTCAGGATCATATCTCAGAAATCAAAGCACAAATAACAGCAGAGGTAGCAGAATTAAGGCACGAAATCCTGAAGATAACGAGAGATATCAAAGGAATAACTGATGCCTCATTCAATTCTCAGCTACCCTCAGTCCAGGCAAACCTGGAAGAACTGAGAAGAGAGACGAGAGAACTGCGAGACACCACGGTGGATTCAGCAGCTCCAATTAGAGTTGCAATAGAGAGCCTCAGAAAAGAGCTAAAGAACCAACCAGGTGTAAATGAAGCAGACTTCACTGGTAACAACTCTCAACTAAAAGGGGATGATATAAACGATTACGAGAAAAGAGATCAAGCAACAGTATTCAAGCATAAAAGCTTCACACGTACATTCTCAGAGGTGGTGATGAAGCCGCATTATCCGGTGATAGTGGAATCGGCTGACCCTAGGAACACTAGCGATGATATCATAAAACAGGTCAAGAGCGGGGTCGACGTAGTCGGGCTTGGGATCGGCATCAGTAACATGAGAAAAGCGAAAAATCAAAAAGTTCTCATTAGCTGTGAATCTGAAGAGGACAGAAGCATCCTCCAAGAAAAATTAAAGAACAACACAGCCAAGCTGACGGTCTATAGGCCGACTATTAAGAACCCACTCCTACGCCTAATAGGTGTGGTCTTTGACCTAACCGATAAAAAGATCGAAGAAGCAATAATAAAGCAAAACAGCACTCTTTTACAAGGCATCTCATCAACGCAACAATACGTCAGAGTAGTAAGAAGAATAAAGGGTAGAACTAGCTCCACAAGCAACATCATACTCGAAGTAAGCTCACAAATCTGGAGCAAATTGAGAGACAAGAATATCAGACTCGGCTTTCAGATAGTCCCGGCAGTTGATCAGTCACCGGTTACTCAGTGCTATCGATGTCTTGGGTTTTCTCATCGAGCACGAGAGTGCCAAGCTCAAAAAACATGCTGTGGGTATTGCGCTGAGGAACATGACACCAGAGAGTGTCACAATAGAGATAAAGCGCCTAAGTGCAAAAACTGCGTAGAAAAGAATGAGTGTGACACGAAGAGTGCACACCCTGCATATAGCTCAGAATGTCTGGAATGGAGGAAATGGGATCGGATAGCAAGAGCAACGATCACATATTGCTAAAGTCACCGACGTTTTCTCACAAAGACCTTCGAGCAGAAAGTATGGAAAAATAAAAATTGCCCAAATCAATCTCGGTAGGGGACAATTAGCCCAACAAGAATGCCTGCAGGCGGCCGAAACGCAAGGAGTGGCTATTCTCCTAATACAGGAACCCTATGTAGGAGCAAAAGCACACGTTACCAGCCGTCATGCAGTTATACAAAAATACACTACAGACACACAAAAACCGGTCAAGTCAGCTGTCATTGTCGTTGACCCGTCCATACAATATACTATAAACCCTGAAACTATTACCGAAAACATTGTCGCGTGTAATTTTAAAATTAATAACCTAGATATTAGTATTGTGAACGCTTATATGGAAGAAGGCCAAAACATCGATGAAGATTTAAGAAAGATATCAAAATCCATTGACACACTGGGAAACGACCATGTCATATTTGGAGGGGATATAAACGCAAAAAGTCCCTGGTGGGGTTGTAGCGTGGAAGATGGACGGGGAACAGCCGTTGCTGAGACCTTAGCCCAACTGGGGTTAAACATACTTAACACAGGAAGTACACCAACATTTTGGGCACACAGAGGAGATAAAGACTACACAAGTATTGTGGACATAACCGCATGCTCTAACAACATATACCACAAAATATTAAACTGGAGGGTTAATCCTGACTTTGTCACTCTGTCGGATCACAGAGCGATTATGTTTGATGTAGAACCTGGGAATTCAATAAGGCAACCTAACCAGCGGAAATCTACCCGCATCTATAATACCAGCAAAGCGGATTGGAACAGATTCACCGCCACATTACAAACAGAACTACAGTCAATTAATATCACTGAAGAAGCAACTATGAACATAGCAACAACATGGGCCTTAGAAGACTTGATCATGCAGTACGTTGAATGCCTACGAAAATCTTGTGATATAACAATCCCAAAGTTATCTCAAAGAATACCCTCAAAGACACCATGGTGGACAAAGGAATTAAACGAAAAGAAAAAAGAACTCATACGAAAAAGAAGAAAAATTAAATTTGCTAACAAAAACAGGAAACAGACTGTAATTGAGGAATATCTTATAACCAAAGTAGAATACAAAAATCATCTAGAAGAAGCTATAACATCGAGCTGGAAAGAATTCTGTACTAGGCAGGACCGGGAGAATATGTGGCAAAGTATCTACAGGGTGATACGTAAATCTCACAAAACTCCTGAAGACACATTATTACGGGAAACAGCAACTAGTGAGATAACGACCCCAAAACAATCTGCACAGCTCTTATCAAATATTTTCTACCCTAACGATGACATACAATCAGACGAACAAATACACACAGAAATAAGAAACAAGTCAGAAAATAATAGGAAAGAGTGGGCCAATAACCAGAATAAAGATGTAATAATCCCATTCACCAACACTGAAATTGAAGAAATATTTAAAAGCATGAGCCCTAAAAAATCGCCTGGAGAAGACGGCCTTACATCTGACATATGCTTCAGAGCCTATGAGGCGGCTCCACAAATCCTACTAGCCATATACACTAAATGCCTTCTACTTGGGCATTTTCCTAAAGTTTGGAAAAGAGCGATAATTCGAGTGATTCCAAAGCCAAACAAGGAAAACTATACCCTCCCAAAGTCTTATAGACCAATTGGCCTTCTACCTGTCCTTGGGAAAGTACTAGAGAAGCTATTTGTTAATAGAATGATGTGGCAATTATGGTCCGAAAACAAAATGAGCGGGCGGCAGTATGGTTTTGTCGCCCAGCGCGGTACAGAAGACGCCCTGTATGATGCCCTGGAAACTGTAAAACAAGGCTTAAAACGAAAGGAAATTGTGGTCGTCATCTCCATTGATATTGAGGGCGCATTTGACAATGCCTGGTGGCCCGGAATGATAAACGAGCTAGAAAATAAGAAAGTAGATAAATCAATATGCAGGTTAATAAGCAGTTATCTACAGGGCAGGCAAATAAAACTCACTTATGCTGGTCATGAGGCGATAAAGGAAACTAACAAAGGCTGCATACAGGGATCTACCTGCGGACCCCTGCTATGGAACTTGCAGCTCGACCCATTACTAACAGAAGTTGAAGGTCTAGGAACATACATTCAAGCATACGCAGACGATATAACGATAATAGCTAAAGGAAAATCAGCAAAAGATCTAGAAAATGAGCTAAACCCGGTATTAAACCACATCATAAAATGGGCAAAAAAAAGAAAAATGAAACTGGCACCCCAGAAAACTCAAGCTATACTGATAACAAAAAACGAAATTCGAAAATCCAAAGATAGTACTGGGAGGAACGGAAATAATTATCTCTGACACGATAACAATACTTGGACTCACAATTGACGCCAACCTAAATTTCCTTAAACATGTAGACAGGGTAACTGAAAAA